AAAAAAAAAAAAAAAAAAGAAAAATGATTTTCCACGATTGCATAAAATAATAATCAATGACTTTAAAAAATGGCGGATTATAATAAAACTCGAATACAAAACTGGTTACATTATATAAAAAGCGTGCAAAAAAAACGTTTTATTTAATTCGAGTCCGAGTCTAGACGTTTGTCGTTTGTTGTTTGTTGTTGTTGTTGGAATTATATTTACGTCATTCCGGATGTTAAACGTTTAGTATTTTTTTTTAAAAATGCGCCGCCATTAAAAATTACTTTCAAATAATTTTTCTTCGACCTTAAAAAATTGATAAATAATAATGACGCAATAATAAATTTATTATTGAGAAATAACGAATATTATAAAAAAAAACCGTTATTAATTTAAAGATAATAAATAAATAAATAAATAATGCATGAAGTAATTTTTATTAAAAATATTTAATTTGAAATTTTCGTCTTCTGCTCCTCCTGCTCCTGCTACTGCTAAAAGTAACAAAAGTTATTTGAGACGTAAAATTTTTTTTTTTTTTATTAAATGATTGATACAATTTTAATTTTTAATTTTTCTTTGTGTGTGACATCAGAACAACAACAACAACAACACAAGGTCAAGGCAAATAATGATTCCAGTCGTGATAGAAAATAAAAAAAAAAAAATGGAAAACCAAGTTTTTATTTTTTTAATTGATCAAATATCATATTTCGCATTCGATTATAATTAAAATATTATTACATTTGTTCTTGTTCAAATAATATTTGCAAATGTCCGACACGATTATAAAAAAAAAAAAAAAACGCCATTTTTGTTTTTTTATTAGCTAAAATGGACGACGTTAAAAAAAAAAAAAAAAACTCTTTACGTACATATATATAGCAAATTGCTCTTTAAAAAGGGAAATTGTAATTTTTTTTTTTTTCAAATTTAAAGAAAATTTAATTTTAAATCGATTTTTAAAAGCATTTCGCAAACTTTATATGATTTAAAACTTTAAAAAAAAAAAAATTATCACTGATCAATTTCATTATCTATATCCATTGCGCAACGATTGATTGAATTTCATTTTTTTATTTTATACTAAAAACTGTATTGAAAATTTATTATTATTAT